GGACAGTAAATAAGGAAGACTGTAGAAGAATTGATGCTTTTGAGTTATGGTGTTGGAGGAGAATATTGAAAGTACCATGGGCTGCCAAAAGAACAAAGAGCTGTGTGTTGGAAGAAGTGCAGCCAGAGTGCTCCTTGGAGGCCAGGATGGCCCAACTTCGTCTCTCATACTTTGGACATATTGTCAGGAGGGACCAGTCACTGGAGAAGGCTCTCTGCTGCTGTAAAGATTTACAGCCTTGGAAACCCTGTACAAGGTCGCTATGAGTCGGAATCGACTCCATGGCACATAACCACCACCACAGGAGTAAACAGCCTCATCTTTTCCTCTTGAAATGGGTTTGAAATGTAGACTTTGTGATTAGTAACCCAATGCCTACTGCACAGGACTCCTTCCTGGTATGTTGTTACTGTTGTTAACCATCGAGTTAGTTCTAATTCATAGTGACCCTGTATAGGGTTTCTGAGGAGCAGATGGTAAGTTTTAACCTCCAACTTTGTGGTTCAAAATGACTTTGGGGTCCAGTGTTTATTCTACAGTGCCACACTAAGATTCTGTTCCTAGTACAGAGAAACACAATTTGTTTTTTGTATTTGAATTTGTATCTAGTGGTTTTGCTACATGCACTAATCCACTTTAAACTGACCTATAAACGTTTTTCCATTTTGTACACACTGTTATGTGAATAACAGTTGTATTTCTTCCTTCCTATAATCACACCTTATTTCTTTTTCATGCCTTATTGCACTATCTGGGAACTCAACTCCAGTACAGTAATGTACATATGATGAGTTCTAACAACTTTTCTCATTCCCAATCTCAGTAGAGGAAATTTTCAATATTTCATGTTAAGCACGGTAGCTTTTTTGTTTGTTTTGCTTTGTTTGGAGAATTTGTTTTGTTTTACTGTTGTTTGTTTTTAGTGGAGTATCAAATTAGGAAGTTCCCTTCTGTTTCTAACTTATTATGAGGTGTTTTGTTATTTGTTTAAATCATGAATGAGTGCTTTCAGCATCTATTGGAAAGGTCCTTTGGATTTTCTTTCTTTCATTGATTTTTGGATGGTTAACCAACCCTTAACAATCTTTTTTGTTTGTTTGTTTGTTTAACCCTATAGGAATTTGCAGGTTCTAGTTCAATTCTACTAAAATGACCTTGTGAGCTATAGTCCTGGACAATAGGACATAGTCTCCATCAGGTGGTGAGCCCTACGGTTGCCCCCCGCCCCATACACACACTCCACATTGCAGTTCCAAAAGAGACTCACCCCCTAAAAGAGAAAAAAGAAAAGACTCAGCCAAGGGCTTCTTGCCTGAGACCTGTCAGTCCCACCCACCTCTTGGCAACCAGCCCTTGCCTGTGCTGGCCCCTTAGAAACTTTGCTAGGCTCTCACTCAGCAGACCCCAGCGTTATGAGAGCAACTAGATGAGCGTCAAACTAGAAGGTCCAGGCCCTGGCACCCCACTACCCGTGATAATCAGGGGGTTCCCCACTGCCCCCTGGCGCAAGAGAGTCGGTGCGGAACTCGTCTCTGGGGCTGGAGACCGAGGGCGCCAAGAACGCCGAACTACGACGGGGGCGCGGGGAATGAAGCTTCGCCTGGTGACCTCCCCCTCCACATCCCCTCAACATGTCCACTCACAGTCTTCCCACTCCTGCCCTCCAGTCCGCCGCCCCCAACCTCCTAGTCTTCAAAGCCCCATACTCCTCCAGCCTCAACACGTTCCCATCTCGACGCTTCCTCTGCCCCCACCGGGTTCCAACCCTAGTCCCCGCCCCATCCCCCCACCCACCCCGGAGGCTCGGAGCCTCTGGGACCCCGAGCCGGGCCCCTGCGCCTCTCAAGGCCTCGAGCGGGGGAAGGACTGGGCGCCCGGCGCCGCCTCATCCACATGCAGGGGACGGCGCGTCCCGGCAGCCGCCAGGAAAGGACAAAGGCTGTTCCGCCGCCGGCCGCACCGTGCCAGGCTCGCCCCGCCCGCTGCCCCGGTGGCCCCGATGCGGCCCCCTTGCGTCTGTCCTGCCGGCCCGACTGGAGCTGTAGAAACCGACTGCCTTCCGGGCGGCAGTAGTCTCCCTCAGCCAGCACCTCCGTGTCCGTAGCGCCCCTCTCTGTGTACCCTGGCAGTTGAGGCGCCCTGGTCTCCCTAACCAACCCCTCTCCCAAGCAGGTGCCGGGCTGGACTCTACTGGGCCTGCGTCAGGGGCCAGAGTCCTAATCACCTGTGACCAGCATCTGCTGTCAGGACCTCCTGCCAGAAGCAACCGGAGTAGTAGGGGTGCACATAAAGGCCTTGTTGTCGTTGTTGTTAAGTGCCGTCGAGTCGGTTCCGACCCATAGCGACCCTGTATAGGGTTTCCAAGGAGCAGCTGGTGAGCTTGAACCACCGACCTTGCAGTTCAAACGGCTTTGCAGTCTGGTGCATTAACCCACAGCGCCACACCAGGACTCCTAAAAGGCCTTGAGGCCCTTCTAAGGGATCGTCAGTGGCTAGTGGCTCCGGGTCTTCAGCTGGACTCCATCTCCCCAGACCGTAGATGAGGTGTATGAGGCCTCCTGACTCCTCAGATGGAGTGGTCCCTGGGCTCAGATCCCTCCCATCCGCAGCTGTACCTCGCCAAGCCATGACCGCCCGGAGGCTAAGAAGGAATCACTAAGAGACAACTTGGCCCCACTACTTGCTCTGTGATCTTTGTGACTTTATTTTTGGGCCTCAGCTTGCACCTGCAGAATGGATTCCTTACCCTTCCGCCTCCCCACTCCCCGCCGCCGCAATACATTAAGGGTCTGCTCCAGGGCTTCAAGAGAATGGGTCTCGTTTTTTTTGAGCTGCGCTCACTCCGTCACTCCTCACCCCTCAAATTAATGGAACTGAACAATGAGACCCCTTCCTCCGCTCAACTAAATTGGGAAGTTCTTCCTAAATCTGCCCCAAGTCCTCTCCATCCAGGCTGGGACGGGGTGATGGGGGAGCAAGAGGGGTGGAGGAGTTCCCTTTAAGGGCGGTGGGGGAGGGGGCTGCCGGCCAACCCTCCTTCCGCCCCTTCGGGGGCCCCCACCGCCAGGCCCGGGGGCCCGGGACCCGTGCCAGCGCATGCGCCCGCCTGTGGGCGCTGTCCGGGCTGCTAGGGCCGCGCGTACAGATAGACTGACCGACGGACTGGCGGCCCGCCGGACGACGGGGCAGCGCAGGGAGAGGGGACGCGGCGGGACAGCGACATGGCCAGCCACACGCAGCAGTCGAGTGGGCGCGGGAACTCCGTCCCTGCGCCCTCGCCTGGCCCGGGCCCCGGCCCTGGAGCCTCGGAGCGGGTGACGCTCAAGAAAGAGATCGGGCTGGTGAGCGCCTGCACCATCATCATCGGTGAGCGGGACTGGAGGTGGGCCGGGTATCCGAAACCCTAGGGCCGAAGGCTGGAGACCGCACAGTGGTGGGAAACAAGAGGAGCCCCCCTTCCGGGGCGCTCATACAGGGTTGAGGGGCTGTGAAGGTGAGACCACGGAGGGTGGACACGGGCACACCTGCAGCGCATCACCACAAAGCGCGCTTGACTGTCAAAGCAAGGCTAATGGAGCACCCACAGAGCCTCCTGTTCCCACCTCCCACCTGAGTCCGATGCAGATCCCGCTCAGCACTACAATCCTCTCCCTGCCTTTCCCTGGTTGTAGGTCTTTGACAAGTCAAGTGCCCTCCGTTTTTTCTTCTGTGAAATGGGAATGATGCCTCTGGCTCTTCCTGGAGAGTCAGAGCCTTGCAGGACCCCCCAGAGATCCCAAATTCTGGGCTGTGGTATCAGCTGAGGCCCTCCTGTGTGTGGCACCTGAGTGCTGTGTGTTCGAAGTGATTTATGCTTCCCAAGTGAGGAGCTGTGGGAAAACTGGACAGGTAGACCTGCCCACAGGAGACATGTAATCACAAAAGTTTGCCAGCAGGCTACCAGGGGAGGGGGATGAATCAGCCAGTGATTGGCGGAGGCCAGAAATGGGGTGAACAGACCAGCACTGGATGACTCTAATCCTCTGGCCCAGCTTCCCCACCTGTGAATAGATCTGTTTGTCCTCTCCTGCTTCAAACTCGGATGACCAGAGGGCTCAGGGACAGAGGGAACGGTGGTTGAAGTTTTCCTCTTCTGTCCTAGGCCCATAAATACAAATTCCTTAAGAACCGGGCCTGTGTCCCCATCATATGTATCTGTCTCCCCACTAGGTGCCTCTGTGCCCCTGCCTGGGAAGGACTGTTTTGTCCCAGGAGATGAATGACTGGGCATTCAGTGAGGGTCCCCTGACCCTGGCTTAGAACTTGACCTAGAAGGTGGCAAGGAGATGAGGGCAAGACAGGTTATAGGATGAATCAGGAGCAGCACTGCTCTGGACCCCTGGTTTGTCACCAGTTACTAAACTTATCTCTGAAGCATCTGAACAGAGCCCTTAAGAGATCCTATACTTCCTTCATCCTTTACCCCCCACCCCATCCCAGGTTGAGGAGTAGGGCTCTCAGAAAATGGGGAGCTGTGGCAAAGTTACACACAGGAGCACAACTGCACCCAAAATGTATTTAGGACAGCACCTGTCTCCTGCTGCAAGAGGGGACAAACAAGAGAGAAGAGACAAGCTGGGGCAGGGGCCAGGAAGGACCACATTGTAGAATCCAATATCTGTTCATAACACCTCTTAGTACATTACATTCTGGAAACATGCATTTCCATTTTGCAAGATTAGAATTTGTATAGCTGTCTTACTGATGTAGGAACTGAAGTTGGGGAGTCAAACACTGCTACAAGTGTTGGGTCTTAAATCTGGAGCCAGATTTGGATGTAGTTCTGCGTGACCCCACTTTGGTGGCCTTATTAATAATGGTGCTAACCAAAACCAGGGCTAGATTCAGAACCTTTGATGAGGGAAGGCTGGGGATTGAGCTAGGTTTCCTGAACTCATCCAACCGGGGTTTGCTGAGTTCCTCACTCTCCTATGGACAAACAGGTGGAGAGGGAAGACCCACCCCCACCCCACTGGGGGCTGTATACACAGGGTCTCTCTTTCTGACTTAGGGATCTCAGCCAGATCTCTCACCTTATCCATACCCAGGAAGGGGACCTACCCAAGTCCCAAAAGAGTGGGAGTTCCACCTCCACTCTCTGCATTTGACTCCAGTATCCAGATATTTGTGTGCCAGGTTCAAATATGCTCAGGACTCAGAGGTCTGAGTCCCATTTCCTCAGGAATCACTCACTGATCATACAGCCTTTTCTATGGTCTCTGGGACTGCAGATGGCTGGGCTGCTCAGAGGATAGACTCCTCCAGAACCCCAGCCCCTCTTCCTTGTCACCCTGAGAAGACATAATCCCACAATGGACCATATCTGTGCTGTACTATAGCCCCCATATACAGATGAGAAAACAGAGGATCTGAGACTGCAATCAGCCCAGGGCCCTTGGTGTGCTCTGGGGGCCAGGGCAGCATCAGCTATAAACACTGGATGCATTCATTCATCAAATTAACTGGTGTTTATTGAGCTTTTAATGTGTGCCCGGCACTGTCCTAGGTGCTGAAGACACAGTAGGACTGAAAATAGACAGAATCTCTGCCTCATGGAGCTGACATTCCAATGTAGGAGTTCCAGCAAGATAAGCAGGCCAAGTACCTAGAAATGGGGTCATGATAAGGACTGAAGTGAGAAGATTAAGTCAAGGAGGATATAGGATGTTGGAGATGAAGGAGGTTTCAGTAGCAGATATGGACTCCCAGCTGTGTGGGGAAGGGTAATGACTTTGCCTTTTTCTCTGTGTGAGATGGGAGCCCTAGGAGGATTTTGAGCTGATAGGATGGGCAAAAGATGATGCTGACTTAGATCAGGGTGGTGGCAGTGAGGGGTGCCAAGAAGAGCCTCAGTTCTGTTTGGAAGATAAAACCAAAAGGTTTGATGGCGGACTAGATGTGGGTTTAGAGAAAGAGAAGACTCACATTTTTAGCCTAAACAGTTGGAAGGATGGTTAGCTATGTATTTTTTGATTGAAGAACAACTTTGAGAAGAGCTGGCTTGGGGAAAAGGAGGGTGAAAGTCAATAACTCAATATTGTTGTTGTTGTTAAGTGCCGTCGAGTCGGTTCCGACCCATAGCGACCCTGTACAGGGTTTCCGAGGGTGTAAATCTTTATGGGAGTAGAAAGCCTCATCTTTCTCCCGTGGAGCGGCTGGTAGTTTCGAACCGCTGACCTTAAGGTTCACAGCTCGATTCGTAACCACTACGCTACCAGAGCTCCTTTGTTCAGTAGTTAGTTGGCTAGAAGGAGCTCTGGTGGTATAGTAAGGAGCCCCAGCAGTGCTGTAGGATAAGCATTGGGCTGCTAACTGCAAGGTTATTGGCTCAAAACCACCAGTCACTCTGAATGAGAGAAGAGACTGTCTGCTCCCATAAATATTTACAGCTTCCCAAACCCACTGTACCAGTTAGAGCCAATTTGATGACAGTGGGTTTGGTTTGGGTGGTACACTGGTTCAGTGCTCAGATGCTAAGCCAAAGGTTGGTGGTTCAAACCTACCAAGCACTCCATGGGAGAACAATGTGGCAGTCTGCCTCCATAAAGATTTTTTAGCCTTGGGAACCTTATGGAGCAATTCTACTCAGTCTTATTGGATTACTATGAGTTGCATTTGACTTGACAGCAATAGATTTGATTGGTTTTGGTGGTTGGATACATGTACAGGTTTCGTTTAGTGGAGATGTCTATACTAGGTGTATTTATTTGGGTTACCTGCAGATAAATTGTATTTACAGCCAGGGGACTTGGACAGAACAGCAAGGGCATGAGTGTATGAAGAAACAAGAGACCCCAGGGTTAAGGTCTGGACACCCAGTGTGCAGAAGTCAGGACGGATCAGAAGGAACCAGCAAAGGAGTCATAGAAGGAGGTGTTGTTGTTATGTGCCATCAAGTCAGTACCGACTCATAGAGACCCCAGGAGTCTCTCTCCCCTATGTCAGGAGGAGGCCCCATTGTGGCCATGCTTATTGGAACAGGCCCAGTAGGTCCCCGGTCATTGGATGGACTTGGGCCTCCCACCCCAGCAGGCCAGGGCACAGAACCTTTCCTTTGGAAATGCAGGCTCCACCGAGGTTAACCAATAAAGAGGTTGCTTCCTGATCATCATCTGAGCACCATGGGAGTGGGGCAGGATATCAGGGAGGGCCTCCTGTGACCTTCCACAGTGGGGGACATGCAGACCCTGAGCAAACTGTCTCCTCTGCTAAGGTCATAGTTGGACCTGGCAGACGGGGAAACTGAGGCTCAGAAGGGAGGCGCCAGCCTGGGCTCACAGAGCCAGTACCTGAGTGTGTTTCTAGGGATGAGAGGTGGTTTCCAGCAGTGTGACCTTCCAGGACCTTTCTGCTCCCTCCCCAAAATTCTGAATACCCCCTGCCCCTCACCCTGATACACACATACTACTGGCAGGCAGGTGGTTTGTTTCACAGACACAACCTCACCCTGCGACCTCCATGGTCTGCAGCCGCCTCCCAGAAATAGGTCAGTGCACACCGCAGTAATGGCCAGGGAACAATGGCCCTTTCTTGCTTGCTCCGCAGAGCCGGGTAAACCCCATTAGGCTAAACATCTTAATGTGATAAAAAAAAAAACAAAAAAAAAACCACCCAGCGCGGGCAGGCTAAAGGAAGAGAGCAGGCAGGAGGAGAGTCGAGGGAGACTTGCTGCTAGTGGGCACCCATATCCTTGTCTACCTACTTGGGGGCTCTGGTCCTCCTGCATATCTGAGGAAACTCTGGAGCCCTTGGCCCATTTGGTGGAGGAGAATGTGGAGGCCTCAGAAATTGTGTCTCTGCAGTCAGACACCACCTGGGTACTTCGTAGCATCTCCCTTGGCCCTCTCAGTCCCTGAGTCCATAGCTCACTTCCTCCAGAGCAGGATGCCCCAAAGTCAGACTTGTCCACACTGTCTCCACTCCATCAGGCAGTATGATTCAGAGAGAAGAGGCTTACGCCTGAGCTTACCTCTCTGAGGGTCCCTTCTCCATCTCCCCTGCACTCACCCTGGAGCTGGGGATTCCAGCCCTGTCTTCAGCGGAGACCCTTCTCCTTCTTTCTCTCTGTAGCTCATTAAGCCCAATGCCCCTGTAGCTCCCTGTAGAACGTGCCCCCACCCTCTGATTGTGGCAAGAGTAGCCAATGGTCGGAGACAGGTTTTACTGCTCCACTCAACCTTGAGTGGATAATGGACCTTGTCCAGGCCCAGAGGGCCTCAGAGATGTGGGCACTGTTCTCAAACACAGGTTCTCTGGAGCTATTTGGAGAGAGGTCCTGATCTGTTGCCTGAGGCCATGTGTCCAAAACAATACTGGTCCTCACCCCCACCTCCCAGAGTCCAGCATCCCAGTCCCCAGCCACTGGGCACAGGGTTAGTGGTGTGTCCCTCTCTGGCCCATGCTGCAGAGGACAAGGGGCCAGATGTAGCATCCCCAAGACCCTGCAGGTGGAACAGTGCAGAGTGGTGGAGTCCCCACTGAGCAGGTGATTCCGAATCCTGGATGCTCCCCTCCCCTAGGTACCAACTCTTTCCAAGGCCACCCAGCCCCCACTGGCTTCCAACCTCACTGGCTTTTGGCAATTCTGCTTGGCCAGGTCCTGAGAACAGAGGCTCTGCCTGCTGGATAGAGCAAACTCAAAGGCCCTTTAGAACCCTAACAGCCCACCCAGGCCTGCCCCGCCCTTCACCCCAGGGTTGATGAAGGAGATGGCCCCTCTTCCCTGCAAGCAGGCCAGGGGTGCATCTTAGCCCTGGGGGTGGGGGGACAGAAACGCCTTCCTCCTTATCTGGATGTATTTAGGACTCCTGAGATGTGACCAGAAAACTAATGGGAGCTTCGTGGCTGTTCAGACTGGAAATCTGTGTCGCCTGGGGCGGGGGCAGGGGGTAGCACCAGGGACAAAAAGTGAATGCAGATTAGTGTCCTCCTCCAGCCCCGCCTGTTGCCTGGCAGGTGGAGCAGCAGTTGTTCCCTCCCAGGCCCTGGCAGGTGGGAGCGATCCATCCATCTCCAAGGACTGAGATGATCAAATTATCTCCAAGGACTGAGCCGCAGGTGGTAAAAGGGTTGACTCTCATCTGTGTGGCTTGTGGGCTTGGGGATTATTTCCTCTTGGACAGGGTCCAACCTGATTTGTTTGCACACATGAAAATCACTGACCCCTTCAAAAGGGGGGGGGGCGGTCCCAGAACATGACCCCCCTTTGCCCTGGTTACCAGGGAGCTCACAGCTAAATGAGCACCCACAGAATTTTTCTCATCCCAGGAACGAGTGCACTGCTCAACTTTGAACAGTCCCCATTGTTTCGGAAAGCATAGAGTACCTACCTTTTCCACTGCCCATCCTTGGATTCTGTTTCTACCTGAGCCTGGGAAAGCCTGTCACTCTTCTGCTTATCACAGTTCCTTCTTGGAGAGCCATGTGGGGACTACAATCCCCATGTTTCACAGATGAGGAAATTAATCCTACAAGTAATGTCGTGAATGCCACATTGATGTCAGCCCATTAGTCATCCCCTACTGGTAATCATGTCCCTTGGGTGGTGCAAACAGTAACGCATTCAACCCCTAACCAAAAGGTTGGTGATTCAAGCTCACCCAGAAGTGCCACCAAAGAAAGGCCTGGCAGTCAACATCTGAAAAATCAGCCATTGGAACCCCTCTAGAGCACAGGTCTACTCTGACACCTATGGGGTCACCATGATGCAGAATGGGTTCCATGGCAACAGATACTTATTAAGCACCTACTAAGGTCAGCAATTCGAATCTACCAGCAGTAGAAAGATGAGGCTTTCTGTTCCTGTAAAGATTAACAGCCTTGGAAAGCCCATATAGGGTTGCTGTGAGTCGCAACCAATTCCATAGTACATAATCACCACCATGTAAATTAATGTGCCCTGGTGTGGTGATGTAAGATAAGCACTGGACTACTAACCGCAAGGTTGACAGTTCAAACCCACCAGATACTCTCAGAAACCCTATACAGGGTCACTATGAGTCAGAACAAAACTAACTGAAGTATTGAGGTGAGAGGAAGCTGATGTCCACTGGAGGGGTTGCAGACACCACAGAGCACATGTTGAGAATAAATCTCTCATTAGCCCTCATGGTTTCCCCATTTTACATATGAGGTGGGTGAAATAAGCAGGCAGAGCCTTGTAGGAGCAAATGAGAAGAGAGCCCCCAGCTTCCTGAACCCCAGCCCCAATTTTCCACTATGTTCCTGGGATTGACAAGGATTGCTTGCAATCCATGGGCTACTCCAAGTGGGGGCGGGGCAGTCGTCTGAGCCCAGGCCATTTCTGCCTTGATGGCTGCTGACCAGCCCCTAGCTCTGAAAATCCACCAGTTCTTCTTCCTCATCATACTGTCGCCTGCTCAGGACCTGAGACTTACGAGAGGTGCTGAAACAAGGTCACTTCAGGATCTCTGTCTACAGCCTGGGTTTTAGCTCCAGGCAGACCCAAGGAGACACGTAGGAAGATGATTCTGGTGGGGAAGGAGGAGAGAAAAGATAAGGTACAGAGAGCAGAGTCCAGGGCACCATGAGGCTGTGAAACAAGAGAAGCCCAAACCCGAAGTAGTCCAGGTGACCTCCATGAATCTGGATAGTGGAAGAAGAGTGGCATGGATCTGAGCTTGTAGGAAGTCAGCTCTGGCTAGCTGGTTGGAGAGAGGCCAGGTGGCTAGAGGTTGAAAAATCAGACCTCAGCTGGAGCAATGGGCTGAGCCTGGGCCAGGCGGAAATGCATGAGTGACCACCATGCATCGTTCATCAGTTGTGCTTGTTGAAAACTCAGACTGGATGCATGAACAAAGCGCCATCTCTCACACATGGGGGTGAGGGGAGAGAATGAGCTCACAGTGAGACTTAGAGAGCTTGAGGGGCCAAGTGGCATCCCACACCTCAAGGCCCACACATCCCAGATTCCCAGCGAGCACCCCAGACTCCCTTCCATACTGCAGCATCCAGAGCCCGGAAGAGAAGTCTGGGCTGCTCAAGAGGACCCCGGGCCTAACCAAGGCCTGACGGCTCCCCATCTCCCCACCCACAGGAAACATCATCGGCTCAGGCATCTTCATCTCGCCCAAGGGCGTACTAGAGCATTCAGGTTCCGTGGGCCTGGCGCTCTTCGTCTGGGTCCTGGGTGGGGGCATCACTGCTCTGGGTTCCCTCTGCTACGCTGAGCTGGGAGTCACCATCCCCAAGTCTGGTGGGGACTATGCATATGTCACTGAGATCTTCGGAGGCCTGGCTGGGTGAGTGTGGGGGCACCAGGGGTGTGTGGGGAGGGGGAGGGCGGCTTCTTCTACTGCTTCCCACATCAGAGGGGGTCCTAGGGATCGCTGAAGAGAAGAGGTTGGGCAGGTGAATGGTGCAAATGCTTACCCATCCTATCCCACTATCTGCTCCCCACTCAGCACTCTAGGTGGGAACATTCTTATCTGAAAGCACTAGATAATGCTAGTACGAGGCAAGGGAGGGTGGGGAGGGAGGCGTGATAGTCCTGTGGCATGCCTTACAAGAGGCTTCCTTTCAATAGCTTCCAACAGCACTCCATGAGCACCTACTGTATGCCGGGGAACTGGGGGGACAGTGATACGGAGGTCTGTCCCATCCTAAAGTTGCTCCCAGGGGAGTGGGGAGCAGTCAAACATGGTTCAGACCTAGACAAGCCTGGGCTTGGTGGAGCATGTACAAGAGGTGCCCACCGCCTGTTCTGTGCCGTGGAGTCGGTTCTGACTCGCAGTGCCCCTGCTTAGGGTTCCCAAGGCTATAAATCTTTACAGGAGCAGAAAGCCTCATCTTTCTCCCAAGTCGGCCTCCTAGCATCCAGGAAAGACCACCAAAGCTAGGAAGAATGGTAGACTTTTTCTAGGCTGACCAGGCAGAGGGGCAGTGTGTACCAAGCCTGGTGATCTGCTGCAACTAGACTCAGGTCACATTCATGAGCAGATTCTGTGACTTTGAGGGGACTCGGGGGGTTGGAAGTTGTCATAGTTGTTCAGATGAATGATGCCAAGGGCCAGGCAGACTTCAGAATAATAGAGGAGCCTAAACCAGAGCATGGTGGTTCCATAGGATAAGCACCAGACTGGGACCCACAAGGTCAACGGTTCAAACCCACCAGTCACTCAGTGGGAGAAAGATGAGTCTTTCTGTTCCCAAAAAGAATGACAACCTCAGAACTCCTACATAGGGTCGCTATGAGTAAAAGCTGACTCCACGACACCTAACAACAAATCAGGGGGGTGTGGTGACCACGAGGCATGAGGGAGAGAGGGTACGGTAGGGGTCACAGCTGCTTTCCCATCGGTATAGTTCGCTAGTGCTTCCAGTTCAGAAATATCACAAGTGGGCAGTTTTCACAAACACAAGTTTATCCTGTCACACTTTAGGAGGCTAAAGCCTGAATTCAGAATGGCGGCTCCAGGGGAAAGTTTTCTCTGTCGGCTCTGGGGAAAGGTCCTTGTCTCCTCTCAGCATCTGTAGGCAGCTTAGAGACCCCCATAAGTCTTAGCATCCATCTTTCCCTGGATTCAGGAGCTTCACGGTACAGGGACCCCAGGTCCAAAGGACCACTCCACTCCTGGCTCCTCTTTCTTGGTGGGAATAGGTCCCTCTGATCTCTGCTCCCTTCCCTCTTTTTATCTCTTGTAAGATAAAAGTGTTGTAGGCCACATCCCAGAAAAACTCCTTGTACATCAAATCAGGGTTGGGACAGGATTCAGGCTGTTGCATCCCCAATCTTAATCCTTTTCCTGGTTTATCACATCAGACCACATCACGGGGAATCATCACATCATTATATAATGACCAGAACCACTGCCCATCATGGCCCAGTCACATTGACACGTTTAGGGGAACACAATTCAATCCATGACATCAAGAAGCTCCCAGACCACGCTTCCCTTCCCTGAGAAGGGGAAGCAGAGATTTCTAGAGGTGGTTGACTGCGCTGGCAGGGTATATGCCACATTCAGGAGATTTTTAGTCAGGGGATCTGAAATCTAGGAAATTCTGGGCTCAAGTATATAAAGCTTGGTTCTGAGGGACTTGGGTGAAGAAGTGGGTGCCTGCCTCTGGGAATAGGGCCCATAAAGTATCCTTCCATCTGGGGCTGGGAGTAGGTAGGAGGGAAACGAGGTGTCCCGTGGGAAGAAGATATGCTGCTGAGTGTTCAGGACCCAGGACAGATAATGTCTTAGTTTCCCAGGGCTGCCAGACAAAACGCCACCAAGTGGGTGGCTTTACAGAATAGAATTTCTTTCCCTACCATTCTGGAGGCTAAGGGTAGCGTAGTAGTTACGAGTTGGGCTGCAAAACTCAAGGTCAGCAGTTCAAAACTACCAGCTGACCTGCGGGAGAAAAATGAGGCTTTCTGCTCCTCGGAAACCCTTTATATCACACCACTGAGAAGAGAAGGACCAGGCTTAGGACCACCAGTGTACATTGACATAACCTCATTTAACTTAACTGACAACAAAAGAAAAACCTATTTCCAAAGAAGGCCACATTTTGGGGGTAGGGGGGCACAGAACTCAATCCACAGAGGGTCCTGCAAAACAAGGGGTGGAGTGCAGGGCTACAGAACAAAGGTAAAGACCAAGAGGAACCCACCAGAGGTCTCCTGTGTCCTTGGGTGAGGCAGTCCCTACTCTCCAGTGCTGGCAAGGCCTTATAGGACCACCCCCAAGGATAGTGCATCCCACCATGGGTGGAAGCAGAGCTCCAGGGAGCAGCTCTGACCTCACAGCTCTGAACATGGGGACCCCACTCATACCTGAACACCTTGCAGAGGTATAATGTGGTCATTAGAAATGAATTTGGTTCTGAGTCCTCCAGCCCAAGACATTCCCATGTTCCAACAACCCATAAATAAGGCATTGAGACTATGACAAGTCACTGCTACCTTCCTGCATCTCCGCCCCCCTCAGCAGCCCTCGGGTGCCCTGTTCCCACTCCGGCCCTCCTTCCTATCTCCCAGCTTCCTGCTCCTCTGGAGCACAGTGCTCATCATGTACCCTACCGGCCTGGCGGTCATCTCCCTCGGGTGCCCTGTTCCCACTCCGGCCCTCCTTCCTATCTCCCAGCTTCCTGCTCCTCTGGAGCGCAGTGCTCATCATGTACCCTACCAGTCTGGCAGTCATCTCCATGACCTTCTCCAACTATGTGCTACAGCCTGTGTTCCCCAACTGCATCCCACCCGCCACTGCCTCCCGCATGCTCTCCATGGCCTGCCTGAGTGAGTACCCATCCAGGAGCCCCAGGCCCACCCCTTCTCCCTGCCCAGCCCTCGAGAAGCTGGCCTCTAGGTTTGGAGTGCTCTGCCTTTCCCCTGCAGCCTGGGCTGACCCAGCTGGGGTCTCACGTGCCCATAGGCCACCTGCACCAGTAACTGCTTCCTCCCCAGTGCTCCTGACGTGGGTGAACAGCAACAGTGTGCGCTGGGCCACACGAATCCAGGACATCTTCACAGGCGGGAAGCTTCTAGCCCTGTCGCTTATCATTGGCGTGGGCTTTGTCCAGATCTTTCAAGGTAGGGCCGGAGCGGGTGTGGACCCAGGGCTGGGGAGACAGTGCTAACCTTTGACCTCTGGATCCCCAGGACACTTCGAGGAGCTGAGGCCCAGCAATGCCTTCTCCTTTTGGATGACCCCGTCTGTGGGTCACCTGGCCCTGGCATTCCTCCAAGGTTCTTTTGCCTTCAGCGGCTGGAACTTCCTCAACTATGTCACCGAAGAGCTGGTTGACCCTCGAAAGTGAGTGGCAGTGGGCTGGTCAGGGAGGCAGCTTACACTAGTGGTGTAGTAAGGACCACAAGCCAGAGATGCTTAGTGGCTGGAGGCAGTCCCCTCAGCCATCGAGAGAGCCCCTTCTCGTAGCTTAGACTGGTCACCACCTGACTGACCGCAGCCTGTGAGGGAGTCCCTGTCACCCCGCACAAACAGTCCTGTGGAGAAGTCAGTACACTTGTGTCTACTGCAGAGTCACAGCCCCTGGCCCGGCCTCACAGACATGGGGTCTCATGCGGCCTTCTGCCATAGAGTAAACCCTTTTCACTTAACCAAAACTGTGCTTGCAGTGTGATCCCAAAATAAAGCCACAGACGTCATCTGATGCTCAGCCAGAGATTGCCACAGCACACAGTTGCGGCGGCAGGAACCCCAGTTGGGGGCGGCTGGAGTGGGAGTGATGCAGAGGCCCAGGGAAGACCCTAGACCTGTGGACCAGGCCCTTCAAGGCTAATCTTGACTTGTGCACTTTTCTCATCATGTGCAGACATTAGACCCCACCCTCAGGGTATGATGTGAGCCCTTCCCCCATCCATCTGTGTCCAGGTGGGGGACAGAAGTGTCCAGTGTTGTCCCACCCAGGACTCACAGCAGACAAAAGGGATGGAGACTCAAAGCCTCTCCACCCCTGAGCCCACATGGAGCCCACCCTGATGTGCTCCCACCCTGCCCTGCCCACAGGAATCTACCTCGAGCCATCTTCATCTCCATTCCCCTGGTTACCTTCGTGTACACATTCACAAACATTGCCTACTTCACCGCCATGTCCCCACAGGAACTCCTGTCCTCCAACGCGGTGGCTGTGGTGAGTGGGGGGTCACTGCTGGGTCCCCGGCTCCGGCCTTGGCCCCCACTCCAGCCTTACGCACGGCCTTTCTTCTGTATCCTTCAGACCTTCGGGGAGAAGCTGCTGGGGTACTTTTCTTGGGTCATGCCTGCCTCAGTGGCACTTTCCACTTTCGGAGGGATCAATGGTTACCTGTTCACTTCCTCCAGGTGACTGGGCTAGGGAAAGGGCGGCTGTGGTAAGGTGAGGCACACTGGTGTGCCAAAGCCAGGCTGGGGGACCAGAGGAAGGGAAATGTTGCCTGAAGTTGGGGGGGTGAACTTCCTAACAACAAACCCAGAGGTAAAGAAAGCAAGATGGGGGAGGCCAGGATGAGGGACAGCTCAAGAGGAATGTAAAGTCCAGAGCTGACGTCCAGGCCGGGCTCATAGCCACCACCACCTCTGTCCCTGCTACCCAGGCTGTGTTTTTCTGGAGCCCGGGAGGGACACCTGCCCAGCCTGCTGGCCATGATCCATGTCCGACACTGTACCCCTATCCCTGCCCTCCTTGTCTGCGTAAGTTGGGGGACAAGACAGGTACGGGTTCCTAGCCAGGCCCACCCAGCAATGGTGGATGGACCCAGGCCATGGTGGCAGCCCTCAGGAGCAATGTGGGGAGGAGCTGGGCTCACCCTGACCTTCTGGCCTGAGCAAGACAGCCGGCCAGGAGGGCAAGAGGACCAGCCTCAGACCCAGGTGTTCCCCCAGTGTGGGGCCACAGCGATCATCATGCTTGTGGGAGACACCTACACCCTCATCAACTATGTGTCCTTCATCAACTACCTCTGTTATGGCATCACCATCCTGGGCTTGATTGTGCTTCGCTGGAGGCGGCCAGCGCTCTACAGGCCCATCAAGGTGAGATCCAGCCAGCAGGAGGCGCTGTGTGCTGTAGGTACCAGAGGTGGGCTGGTGATGATAGTGATGGTGATTCTAGACTTTCACTGCTGGGGGCTTTACCTGCACTGACGTACTTAATCCTCATAACAACCCCACAAGGGGGTGAGTTTAATGCTCCTGGGTGGCACTGTGAGCTAGGCGCTGGACTGCTAGCCACGCAGTCAATGGTTTAAACCCAACAGGCACTCCACAAGAGAAAAATGAGGCTGTCTGCTCCCATCAAGATTTGCAGTCTTGGAAACCCTATATAGGGTCGCTATGGATAGGCATCAACTCAATGGCAGTGGATTTAGTAGGTTTTATTTACAGATGAGGAAAGTGAGGCTAAGAAATTTGCTCAAGGTCATGCCGGCAGCTAGTGACAGACCCAGGATTCCATTAGCCCACAAAACCAAACAAAAAAACTAAGGACAGTCAGCTAAAAGTCTGCCCATTTGCATATAAATCCTTGCACCAGAGAAGTGTTCATTGCCAAAAATGCAAAACAGCAAAACATAATTGATCTTTAGCCAATACCTGCCTCCTACACACACACACAAACACACACTCACACCCACTGTGTGGGACTCAGAGCGACTGAAACTTTGACAGACCCTCAACAGTTTGGCCGAGTGACCATTCCGTCAGCAGGCTCCCAGTGGGCTGGGCCACTGCCAGGAGAGGTCCTGAGGAAGGAAGGAGGGAAGTCGTGGGGGAGTAGGGGGGTAGCGGGGAGGGCTCCTTCAGCGCGCATGCTCGCTCTTCCTCAGGTGAATCTGCTCGTCCCACTTGCGTATTTGGTCTTCTGGGCATTCCTGTTGGTCTTCAGCTTCATCTCGGAGCCCATGGTCTGCGGAATTGGGGTCATCATCATCCTCACAGGGGTACCCGTTTTCTTCCTGGGCGCGTTCTGGAGAAGCAAACCAAAGTGTGTGCACAGACTCACCGGTGAGCAAGCAGCTCCCTGAGTCTTCAGAGGCTGGAGGTGGGATGTCATTAGGGCCAACACAAGATCTGGGGTGTCCACACAGGGACCAGTCACCCCTAGCTGCCTCCCTGAGATATAGCCTGAAGATCCCTGCTTGGGAAGGGGTCCAGGGGTGGGACTGCCGATGTCCCCAGAGGCCAGCCCTCAACATCCATCTGTCCTTCTATCCTCAGAGTCAATGACTCGCTGGGGCCAGGAGCTGTGTTTCGTGGTCTATCCCCAGGGTTCCCCTGAGGAGGAATAAAGCAGGCCCTGCCAGGCCTCCCCGCTCCCCACCTCAGACAAACCCTTGAAGACACAATGAGATGCTTGTGGGAACTGAAGCAGCTGTTTCTGTTTACATGTTGTTTATCAAGGAGGTGTCTATGCAAAAACTTTTTTTTTCCCCCCCTGGAAAAAAAGATCTGATTCTAAAGACACCTGCCATAAGGAAGCCCCGAAGATGTGGACCAGGTTCCCTGCCTTAGCACTGCCCTGCTATGCTAGCCTTTCCTAAAATGGTTCACAAATAAAACGGGGCTGGTTGTTTGCCTATGTCCGGGTGAGTCCCTGGGGGTGCAAAGGCCAACTCAGGGTGGAAATGCATGATGCTGGCTGACAGCTACCAAGACAGGCTCTGGGGGCATCCTTGGCATGTGGGGGCTCTGAACTTGACCCCAGCACCCACTCTCCAGGGCTGGCTCCAGGGGCCACCTCAGTGGTACCAGTGCCAAAGGGGCCAGGAAGACTCGGGTCCGTCTGAGGTTCAGCATCCAAGAGAACCCAGTGGTTCCGAGCTGGATTGCTTTTCTTCCCACAAATCATCAGAAAACAAATGTCAGGACTTCAGAACCTCAGCCACACCTTCCTGGCTTACAGATGGGGAGACGGAGGCCCTAAAACAGGGTGGGATGGATCAGGGCCCTCTTGGCGGGCGCTTCCACCTCTACATAGGGCCTGCAAGTGACTCAGGGCTTCTTCTACCCCCTGGCTCACATTCCCAGTCTTGGTACCTAGAGGGCAAGAGGCACCAGGCCCATGTCCACACCAAAAGCAGGCGGCTCAGGACAGAACCCACCCAGCCCACCCAGTCCTCTGCTGGGCAGGGTGGAGGAAGCTCTGTGCAGATGGACTTGGAGCGGCACCGGAAAACAGGGTACAAAGAGTACACTGCCCCGACCACAGCGGCCATCAGTGATGGTGAGGGGAGCCGCTCTGTTCCAGGAGAGCCGCTCAGGATGAGTGGAGCAAGAGCAAGCAGCCATAGAGGAGAGTCCAGACAGCCCTGTCCCGGCCCTCCTGCTTCTTCTCTGCAGTGGAGGGAAGTGGGGAAGGCAGACGTGAGACCCCAGGTGCTTGTAGGGCACCAGCACCTGCAGAGGGACTTGTCTATGCATCACTCGGCCCCTCCCCTACCCATCCAGGCCCGCCTAGAGTGAGGAGAATGCTGAGCGCAATGTGGGTTTCTGGGTGGGACTCCCCATAAAAAAGAAGGATGCAGAGGCAGGGTAGAAACGACTGTGTATTCCCTGGTTACAAAGCGGGGCTATGGCAGTCACCAGCATGTCCAGTAGCTCAGCAGACCAGCAGGGCCTCATCGTCACTGGCCTCCAATATGGGGGAGCAGGGTGGCGGGGGGCTCCTGCAGACACCCAGTGGTTCTGGTGGGTGAAGGTCAAGGGTGCTGCTGGCAGTGGGGGCTGGGGGATGAGTGTCCTGGGCCGAGCTGGGCTCCCGAGGTGTGTCCACCATGGCCGGGCTGTCTGCCAGAGGGTCCCTGCAGACCTTTCTGTCCTTGTCCGTGGGCCTGCACACTGGGTCGTGCAGGCCCAAAGGGGATGGCGGCACTGTAGGTCCCTCCTCAGGTGAATGGCCAGGGGTACTGGGGAGCCCATCACCAGTCACCCCAGGGCTGCCTGCTTCTGTTAGGGGTGTCTGGGGGTCCGGGGCAGCACTGGGCGCAGGCTGGAGGAACCCATCGCCCAGTACAGTCTGTGAGGTGCGGGCAGCAGTGAGCAGTGGGATCTGGCCACGTGGTGCCCGGGGCCGGTGAAAGAGCCTGTTCCAGAGGCGGCCAAGGTGTCGGCGGGAGGGTCCACGGCGGGAGGCGTGCCGGCGCATCTGTCGCCGCATGGCTGTGCGAAGGTTCTGAAGCACCGAGGCCTGGGGGGTGGGGGGCGGGCTGCTCAGGAACCTCAGAGGTCAGCACCACCCCCAAGGGGTCCAAGACCGGCCTGTCATCCCACCTGGCCCCCTACGTAACCAGGCCAACACTTGAGGCCCTGTCTGTGGTGCTGTGAGGCCCCGCCCCACCGATGCTCACCTGGGATGCACTGTAAACAGGGAAGTCCTCCACAGGGGGGATGAGGCCCTGCGCAATGAGCTGACCATAGGATGGGGGCGCCTCCCGCCGCACAAACTCGGCCTCCAGGCGCGTCATCTGGGTCTCAAAGGCCCTGAAAGCAGTGAGCAGAACACATCATGGTCGTTCCACTGGAACTGCACTGCCACCGACCTGGGGCTTGCACAAAACCAAACCCAAACCCAGTGCCATTGGGTCACACCGAAACCAAACCGACTGCCAGCAACTCACACCAAAACCAAACCCACTGCCATCAAGTCACACCGAAACCAAACCCACTGCCATCAAGTCACACCGAAACCAAACCCACTG